TTCTTGCAGCCTTTTATATTTCTGTGATCATGGAAAAGGCTTCATGTTGAGACAGCAGAGATACGAGATTTAAGCAATGTGTATTGTGTAGACCCTCCCCAAGTTATAGCTTCCCTAGAGAGCCTCTTAGTCCCAAGGTCAATTTTGCACAAGAGAACTTGGCTTTTTGAGTTAAGCCTCTGAAATTTTAGGGGTTGTTTTTTTGCTGCTGCCTAAGTCTGTCTTATCCTGACTAATATATGACCCTTAACATATATAAATACCCATAAGCATATGGTTTTGTTTTTTGAGTCTTCATTCTGAACCATTTATTTATTTGCTTCTTCTCATGCCAACACCTCCCTCTTTAATTGTAACTTTATAGCAGATTTTAATACCTAAGAGGGCCAAGACCTACATCATTATTCATTTTCAAAATCCTGTTGGTTAGTTTTAAGCATTATTTTTAAGGTAGATTTTTAAAATTCTATAGAAGGGAACTTGGTGAGATTTGCAATGGTATTGCATTAGATTTGTAGATTAATTTATGATAATTGTCATATACGGTCCTGTAGTTTTTTTCTTATGTCTTTTATAGTTCCATTAGTTTTTTGAAACATAAGGGTTTTTTTGCTATTGAATGAGATCTTTGTCTACATTACATTTTAAAACTAATTCTAAGCAGTGTACAGGAAAATAATTGATTTGTATGTTTCTCTCGCATGCAACTGCTCTTTTCCTCAGCTCATTCATTTGTTCTGATAATAATTAGATGATTTTCTTGCACCACGACATTGTCCTGGGGTTGTTTCTTAGAGGCTTATCAAGTCTTCTGGATTTGTCTCTAGGCACAAGCCTGGGTGCAATTCAGTGTATTTTCATCGTTCATGGTTTCTTCTACCATCTGTTCTAGTGAAGGGGTGGCCTACCCCTCCACACCTGTGGGCGTTTCTCGTTAGGTGGATCGAGGGACTGGAGAAAAGAAATGAGACACAGAGACAAAGTATAGAGAAAGAAAAAGTGGGCCCAGGGGACCGGCGCTCAGCTTACAGAGGACCAGCGCCAGCACGGTCTCTGAGTTCCCTCAGTATTTATTGATCATTATCTTTACCATCTTAGAAAAGGGAAGTGGCAGGATAATAGGATCATAGTAGGGAGAAGGTCAGCAGAAAGACATATGAATAAAGATCTCTGTGACATGAATAAGTTTAAGGAAAAGTGCTGTGCCTTGATATGCATATGTAAACGTCTCCATAAACCTTTTCAGTGCATAAAGAGCAGCATTGCCGCCAGCACGTCCCACCTTCAGCCCTAAGGCGCTTTTCTCCTTTCTCAGTAAACAGAACATACAATCGGGTTTTACACCGAGATGTTCCATTGCCCAGGGACCGGAAGGAGACAGATGTTTTTCTCTATCTCAACTGCCAAGAGGCCTTCTTTCCTCTTATACTAGTCCTCCTCAGCACAGACCCTTCACAGGTGTCAGGCTGGGGGGCGATCAGGTCTTTCCCTTCCTACAAGGCCATATTTCAGTCTATCACATGGGGAGAAACCTTGGACAATACCTAGCTTTCCTAGGCAGAGGTCCCTGCGACCTTCCACAGTATATGTGTCCCTGGGTACTTGAGATTAAGAGAATGGTGATGACTTTTCACAAGCATACTGCCTTCAGGCACTTGTTTAACAAAGCACACCCTGCACAGCCACAAATCCATTAAACCCTGAGTCACCACAGCACATGTCTCTTGCAAGGACAGGGTTGGGGGTAGGGTCACAGATTAACAGCATCTCAAATACAGAACAAAATGGAGTCTCATATGTCTACTTCTTTCTATATAGACACAGTCTGATCTCTCTTTCTTCTTCCCACATTCTAGGAAATATTACTGTGTCCTATTTAAATTCTCCATTCTACCTCTTGTTCCTATAAGGCATTCGGCAAATCTGTTTGTGTAATTAAATTTTTGTACTATTATTACTTTATGCACTAATTTTACATCACGGCTTAACTTATTTAATATTTCCATACTGGTTTTACCATCTTCATTAAGAAAACCATTGGGTAACTGTCATGTGCATCCAAGTGAAGAGATCACCAAACAGGCTTTGTGTGAGCAATAAAGCTTTTTTAATCACCTGGGTGCAGGTGGGCTGAGTCCGAAAAGAGAGTCAGCGAAGGGAGATAAGGGTGGGGCCGTTTTATAGGATTTGGGTAGGTAAAGGAAAATTACAGGCAAAGGGGGGTTGTTCTCTGGTGGGCAGGAGTGGGGGTCACAAGGTGCTCAGTAGGGGAGATTTCTGAGCCAGGATGAGCCAGAAAAAGGAATTTCACTAGATAATATCATCGCTTAAGGCAAGGACTAGCCATTTTCACTTCTTTTGTGGTGGAATGTCATTGGTTAAGGTGAGGCAGGGCATTTGCACTTCTTTTGTGATTCTTCAGTTACTTCAGGCCATCTCGGTGTATATGTGCAAGTCACACGGGATGCAATGGCTTGGCTTGGGCTCAGAGGCCTGACAGTAACTATATCCTATTATTATAGAGTTTGTAATCTGAATACCATCTCCTTATGTTTCATTGATTATCCTCTTAATATCAGGTCCTGACCTACTTTTATCAAAGGCATTGTCTAGAGCTATGTATTAAAAATTTCTACCATTAGAATATAAGTTTTATCCTTCTTTGTAAATTGTTTTCCTACTTCATTATTCAAGGATAAAATAGGTGTGTTTACACAAATCTTAGCATATGCTTTTGAATGTTTTTGGAATAAGCTTAACAAAAATTCTGTAACATTTAATGAACACTTAAATACCAAGGCATCAATCCATCTACCTGCCTACAGGCTTGAAAATCATTTTCTCCAATACCTTTTGCATAAGATGCATCTTACAGGACCTACTCACAGAAGGTAAAAAGGGAAGTTCTTACTCTGCTCTCTGAAAATATCACCTCCCTCCAAAATAAAGAACTCTCAGTTGCTCATAAACAAGTATTCAAAGGAAGACAGCAAGTTAGTCAAAATAGGCTAGACTATGCTTCAGTGACAATTCCAAATTTTCAGAGTGGCTTTTTGACGGATTAAGTATGGCTGCAATTTGTTTTGCTGCTTCTTGTTAAAGGATAGTCTAATTCCTCTCCCCTTTAGTCTACGGTGTCTTCAGTGCCTTGACTAATAGAATGATGTTGAAATGACACTCTTAGACTCCTGGAGCAATGCAGTTTCCACCTTTTGGGAACTCTTGCTCTAGAGAAATTAAGTATGACAGCCCTCACACTGCCATGCTGAAGGAAGCCGAAGCTAGCCACATGGAGAGACTGCATGGATAAGAGCAATGCCTGTGCAGTCCCCAGTTGGTCTAGCCAGCCTACACTAAGTGCCAGATGTGGGTGCAAGGGACTTCAACGAATTCTGGTCTCGGTCTCCAGGGGTCTGCCACCATATGAAAGAGGATAAGCAAATATAGCCCAGCTGAACTCTTTAACCCCCAAAACCATGAGAGGTGAGTTTTGGGATGGTTGATCAGGCAGCAATAGTTAACCTGAATAGCCTCTCCTATTGAAAATGTATTTCTTGCCTATGTGAGTCCTTTTAAGAAACCAGGGAACCACCTAGTGCTGCTATTCTCCATTAGGCAGCTCAGCAATTCAGGCTACTCTTGTCTTGTAGACTCTTAGATCATAATCTTTTCTCTAAAATTTCCACAGCAGGAGAACAGAACACTGGGACATTTTGTGCCGGTGATTAAACACTTTGGCCTGGAAATGAAGTGTTACCCACCCCTTCCATTTGTAGCCCATTGGCCAATTCATATCAATATGCCTAACTTCTGAGGGGTGCAGGAGCATCCTCCTCTGTGGGGTAGGGAAAGAGAGGGGGACTAGGTAGGATCTACCTCACTCTTCCCCTCTCTCCTGCTAATGATGTTACCTCATCAGAGTCCTGGGAATTCCTTTGCCTATTAGGAACCACATATTTTTGTGTAACCATAGCTGCCCTGCAGTGCCACCATTACTCTGGGGAAAAAAGCCCTTTCTCCTAGTACCAGGAACCAATCTTCTTAAAACTATAAATCCATGTTTTAAGCATAAACATGGATCACATACTGACCGAGGATACCATTACAGCGTAACAAATTACCCCAAATCTTAGTAGCTTGATATTATATAACAACATTGATTACCTCACAGTTTCTGTGGGTGGAGGTCCCAGCTAAGCTAAGCTTTGCTGCCTGGTTCTGGGTCATTTATAAGGCTTACCCATCTCAAGAGCACTGGTGACAGATTTGCTTCTAGGTCACTCATGTGGTTGTTTGAAGATCCAGCTCTTTGAGGGCTGTTGGGCTGAGGTCTCAGTTGCTTAGGCTGGAGACCTCCCTTGGTTCCTTGTCACATGGAGCTCTCTACACAGAGTCGCAGAGTGAGTGTTCGAAAGGAAAAGAAGATTCCAGCAAAATGGAAGTCTCAGGTTTTTGTAACCTTATCACAGAAGTGATAACCCATCAGTTTTCCCATCTCCTGTTAGAAGTGAGTCACCAGGCCCAACCCCCACTCAGGAGGAAAGGATCACACAAGGGCCTGAATACCAGGAGGCAGAGATCTTGGGAGCAGTGTCAGAAGCTGCCTATCCCAAGTACACCTATGGGATGGGTATTCTGCAATATAGGGGACACAAAGATATATAAGGTAAAGCCCTTGACCTTGAACAGTTTTTAGTAGTGGTTGGAGGAGAGAGGATAGAGGGTGATAACTACATACAATTGCATTATACTATAAAAGGTATGTGATGAAGTTATTGTATTAGTCCATTTTCACGCTGCTGATATAGACACACCCGAGACCGTGTAATTTATACAGGAAAAAGCGTTTATTGGACTCACAGTTCCACATGGCTGGGGAAGCCTCACAATCAGGGTGGAAGGCAAGGAGGAGCAAGTCATGTCTTACACGGATGGCCGCAGGCCAAAAGAGAGAGAGCTTGTGCAGGGAAATTCCCATTTTTAAAACCATCAGAGCTTTCTGCGCTACCTACGGAGGGGCCCGTACGGCGTTGTTCTGGATTCCCGTCGTAACTTAAAGGGAAACTTTCACAATGTCCGGAGCCCTTGATGTCCTGCAAATGAAGGAGGAGGATGTCCTTAAGTTCCTTGCAGCAGGAACCCACTTAGGTGGCACCAATCTTGACTTCCAGATGGAGCAGTACATCTATAAAAGGAAAAGTGATGGCATCTACATCATAAATCTGAAGAGGACCTGGGAGAAGCTTCTGCTGGCGGCTCGTGCCATTGTTGCCATTGAAAACCCTGCTGATGTCAGTGTTATATCCTCCAGGAATACTGGCCAGAGGGCCGTGCTGAAGTTTGCTGCTGCCACTGGAGCCACTCCAATTGCTGGCCGCTTCACTCCTGGAACCTTCACTAACCAGATCCAGGCAGCCTTCCGGGAGCCACGGCTTCTTGTGGTTACTGACCCCAGGGCTGACCACCAGCCTCTCACAGAGTCATCTTATGTTAACCTACCTACCATTGCTCTGTGTAACACAGATTCTCCTCTGCGCTATGTGGACATTGCTATCCCATGCAACAACAAGGGAGCTCACTCAGTGGGTTTGATGTGGTGGATGCTGGCTCGGGAAGTTCTGTGCATGCATGGCACCATTTCCCGTGAACACCCGTGGGAGGTCATGCCTGATCTCTACTTCTACAGAGATCCTGAAGAGATTGAGAAAGAAGAGCAGGCTGCTGCTGAAAAGGCAGTGACCAAGGAGGAATTTCAGGGTGAATGGACTGCTCCAGCTCCTGAGTTCACTGCTACTCAGCCTGAGGTTGCAGACTGGTCTGAAGGTGTGCAGGTGCCCTCTGTGCCTATTCAGCAGTTCCCTACTGAAGACTGGAGTGCTCAGCCTGCCACGGAAGACTGGTCTGCAGCTCCCACTGCTCAGGCCACTGAATGGGTAGGAGCAACCACTGAATGGTCTTAAGCTGTTCTTGCACGGGCTCTTAAGCAACATGGAAAAATGGTTGATAGAAAATAAACATCAGTTTCTAAAAAAAAAAAAAAAAAAAAAACCATCAGATCTCATGAGACTTATTCACTATCACGAGAACAGCACGGGAAAGACCCGCCCCCACGATTCAATTGTCTCCCATGGGGTCCCTCCCACAACACGTGGGAATTAGGGGAGCTACAAGATGAGATTTGGATGGGGACACAGTGCCAAACCATATCAGTTATACAGAAGAGCACTTGGATCTGAGAAGAGACAGCAGCTCATTCTGCATGAGCTATCAGAGGTACAATGTGGGCTACATGACAGAGACTGATTCACTGGACAACTGGACAAAAGTGTTCTAAGCAGAATGAAGGAGCAAGGAGACACTGAAGTACACAACGTGCTTTGGGAATGGGGAGTAGCTTTGTGTTATTAGGACACAGGGAATTGTGGGAATAGTGGAATGTAAAGTGGGCAAAGCTGAAGCTGGGCTGTGAAAGGCATTGTGTATCATGCTAAGTGAAGTTGACTTTAGCATAGGAAAAATAGACATTACAGCATATCGTTGCCTCCAAATATTAATATTAGTGTTGGCAATATTGCTGTGGCAAAAACCCCAATTATGTTTGCACAAACCTGATTTATAAGCTTTTTGAGTCAGACTATGTGCTAGGCATTATTCTTATCTCATATAATCTTCACAGCCACCTTTTGGAGCAGGTTCTATTACTACTTGCATTTTAACAGAACTTTGGTGTTAACTAGTTTTAGCCCCAAATCACATGGCTAGGAAGTGTCAGGGCTGAGATGCCAATCATGGTCTGACAGCAACAGCTCCCTTAACCTCGTCCGTGACTCCTCACTGCAAGGTCAGTCCCACACTTTCATGCTACTTTCTTCCTACCATCCTTCGTCTGAAGGCCAAAAAATGAAATCTTGGAACCCACAGTTTTTGTTAAAGATAGGAAGTGCTTCGGTAATGACTGTCTTTTATGCTGCAGATGCTCTCTCTTTCCTTTTAGCTTTTCATTTTGTAAATTTTCCAACAAATGCACGAGTAGGTAAAATAGCAAAATGAACTTAGTTAGCTTCAACACTGACTGATGTTGCACCACTTTGCTTTCACCTATCTTCTTTCCATTCCCTACATTTTAGTTCTGGGGTATTGTAAAACAAATTCTAGACATCATGTTACTTCATCCATAAATATCTCATTATCTATAACCAATAAAGCCTTTTAAAAATATAGTTATCACATCTTTATCACCTTCAGCAAAATTAATAGTAATTCCTTAATATCAGATGCTATTTTTAAGAACGTTTTGAGGCCGGGCGCGGTGGCTCAAGCCTGTAATCCCAGCACTTTGGGAGGCCGAGACGGGCGGATCACAAGGTCAGGAGATCGAGACCATCCTGGCTAACCTGGTGAAACCTCGTCTCTACTAAAAAATACAAAAAAACTAGCCGGGCGAGGTGGCGGGCGCCTGTAGTCCCAGCTACTTGGGAGGCTGAGGCAGGAGAATAGCATAAACCCGGGAGGCGGAGGTTGCAGTGAGCTGAGATCTGGCCACTGCACTCCAGTCTGGGCGACAGAGCGAGACTCTGTCTCAAAAAAAAAAAAAAAAAAAAAAAAAGAACGTTTTGAAACCAATTACATATTCTATACAAAAAAGTTGCACTGAAAATGATAGAATGATAGAATTCCTGTTTATGAGTCACTTCTTTTTACAAGCACAGTAAAATGTTTTCCATCGAGTTTAGGGGATTGATGTGTATGTACTTCATAACAGTGAGTCTTAGTAGCATTCACTGCAAAGACATTTTCTTAAATTCCAGTAGTTTGTAAACCCTTGAGTGTTTTATTTTAATGATAAGGGTTGGGTCCACATAGTTTTTAGCTAATACTAATTAATGCATAATCCAGGCCAGATCTTCTCTTCAGGCAAAATTAATTTCCCTCTCCTATAAGTACTGATTGAAATTTGCTCTCATGTGCCCTGAAGTACTTTTAGTCTTATTTTTAAAATTTATTTTAGTCTTTGTTTTAAGCCGAGGGCAGAAACCACATCCTTTTCATGATCTATTAACCACATTACCCAGGTTCGTAGTTTGCACAACTAGTAAACACATACAAAGCACCCTTTGAGAAAGCTTCCTCATCCTTTAATTGTAATCCAGTCTTATATACTAACGATGTGGTGGTCCCAAGGTACAGATTCATCTAATGTGACCTGCAAAGAAATTTGGAAATCACTTAAGGCTACCCTCATTTTAGATCTGACGAAACTGTAGTCAAGAGAAATGTCAGGTCCATTTTACTGCAGGTGGCAATAGTCTTAACTGACTCATTTTATCGGTTAGTACCCATGTTTTTAAGAGTTTCTACGAAATTAACATTTTTTTGTAAAAACAAAATGCAATTGCATAGCCTAGTTTCATCAATATCCTCAATTAGTGATGCTTCAATATACACACGCAGAGAGTACTTAAATTTTCCTCTCTTCCTCAAGAGATACCACATCCCTCCATTTTTCATTAAACGTAAGTGTACTTTGCATCCCGTTGCTTTCATGTTTGCTATTATTGAAGAGAGGATGGATTTTAAAATTATTGGCCATGTTTCCCTTTAGAGAAGGACACACGCGCCAACCCTGCCCTTTCTGGAGCCTGGGCAGCAGCGGTGCGTGTTCTAACTTAGGCAACATTGGGTCATCTGTTTATTGTCAGCTTGGCGGTCAGGAAGAAAGGGCGGCGGTTGCTGAGGTAACCGACACCCCAGGCAACTGCAAGTGGAGGCGGGAGGGGGCGTGGCCTCGACGGGCAAGCGACGATAAGAGGTGGCGTCCGCCGCGGCGTTGCGAGCACCGCCTGTCTGCGCTGCCGGGCGTAGGCGGGGTGGCCCCTGCGTCTCCCGCCTCCTTGAAAAACCCGGGCGGGCGAGCGAGGCTGTGGGCCCGGGCGCTACCTTTCCCCACACTCCCGGCCGAGGAGCCTCGCTCGGCGCCCAACATGGCGGGTGGGCGCCGCGGCCCGCAGCTAACGGCGCTGCTGGCTGCCTGGGTCGCGGCTGTGGCGGCGACGGCAGGCCCCAAGCAGGCCGCGCTGCCGGCGGAGCAGAGCCGGGTCCAGCCCATGACCGCCTCCAACTGGACGCTGGTGATGGAGGGCGAGTGGATGCTGAAATTGTGAGTGAGCCCGCCCGCCCCGCACGCCGCAGTGTCCTCGCGGGCGTCACCCTCCCAAGCCCGCGCGGCCCGCTCGCGATCCCGCATTGCCGCCAGGGCTCAACCTAAAACCCCGGACCCGCCCTGCCAACAACCTGCAGCGCCGGTGCCGGGCCGCTCGCGATCCTGCACTGCCGCTGGGCTCGACCTGGGGGTCCCCGGACCCACCTTGCCTACGACTTGCGGCGCTGGGGCCGGGCCGCTCGCGCCGCGCATGCGCGTCCAGCCCTCGCGGTGACAGCCGAGGGTGCAGCGCATCCCCTCGCTTTGGGGGACAGTGTTTTCGGGGTGGACTGGGCGGCTTCCCAAAGGGAGGAGAAGGGAAGGGAGAAAATCTGCAAGCAAACCGTGTGCTTTTAGATATAGGTATGTATTGGAAAAGAAAGGACATTCAGTGACATCCATGAGCAATATGAATATTTAGCACAGGCTAAGCAAGTTTCCTGTTGAAGGAATCGCAGCACGGTGAGGGCAGGCCATTTGTATCGTAGTCTTCCTTTTGAAGACCTTGAGATGTCATTGTGAAAATAAAACATAAATATAGATACCTTTTAAGTTTTACAATAAGATTTCAAATAAATGTTGACATTTATTATAACTTTTAAACGTCGGGCTTTCTGGGTAATATTAATAATTGTGCTTGTGTCATAAAAGAACATACACATTGCCCCTTTTAACAATAGAAGGTAAATGGTGGATAGTGCCTTTTCTTTAAGGAGATGGGAAACTACAGTTTTGAGTTAGGAGAAGGAAAGGGATTTGTTGATTATAGTTTAAGCTTAAAAGAGGAAGTGGCCATTTGAAAGAGGCTTGCAGTGGACGGTGGGCAGATGTCTGAATGGGCTTGAGAGACCATCATGGTGGGCTTGCAGGGAAAATGAAGAACGTCCCGGGAAATGATTGCTGAGACTCTCTCTCTCTCTCTATCTCTCATCTCTCTCATCTCTCCCCTCCCCGCCCAACATAAAATCTTTCAGGAAATTGCCACATCTCTCTAGCCTGTAGTTTCTGGCAATCTGTATACTATTTAATATTTGTTTTACGTTGAGGACACAGACAGAAAATTGGATCTTTCCTTTATCCAAGACCAAGTTTTGATTCTTTCAATTTAGATTGCAAGCAGGTGCCTATGGAGTGAAAACCTCAGTGTGAGATCAGAGCCAAAAGTTATGTCACACAGCAGATTATATTACTCAAAGAACATAATTTACCTCTTAGTCACAAAGAAGGGGATGTTTTAGACCTCAAAATGAAATACCCTTGGTATCATAATAAATCAAATTATTAAAGGGAGCTGTAGACATGAATTATTAAAATATTCCACTTAACTAGTTTTGGAAGGAGGTGAGGGGGTCATACTCTATTTGAGAAACTTTAAAAATAAGTGGAGCTGTATTAAGACTTCCATATTTGTAATAATTTTAAGACTTTGAGATAAACTGCATTTTGTCAGCCAATACTACAGAAAGTTCTCTTTTCAGTAGGTGCTTACAAAATGTACTTTTTCCTAGATGTCATGTTTCAGGGTAATACTGAGTTTGCATATGTATGTAAGGAAAGTTAAAACAGAAAGGCCTCATTTTTAATGACATCAACTCCTTTATGGTTCCTTTTGGAATTGCTTTTTTTTTTTTGGTAATAGAATTAAGAACAATAAAGCCTCGATGAGTTTTTAAATGAGTGAGAGCCAACAACACCTGTGCTTGGCCATGTTGATGGTTCAAATTTTACTTTTTTATGAATGTGTAAACCTAAACATAGTAATCAATTGCTCTGAGTTTGTCATGTGTCCAGTTGTGTGGAATATGCTTGGGCCGTGATGCAAGATGAGTCATGTAATCTGGAAGTAAGCTGTGTAGACACAAGGTCTTTTTAGTAGACGTTCTCTTTTTATTGAGTGCACTTCAGAATAGGTGGCTAGGAAGCAAGGCTGTAAAGGAAAGTTGATCCAAACGTTTCTATCCAACTTCTTTATACATGCTAAAACTCATCCTAAAGAAATATTTTGGTTCTTATCTATTTGTGATCTATTTTTTCTGTATTATTAGGTGATACTTTTCCTCCTTGCTGTGAAAAAAATCCAATACTTAAAAAAATATGAAATTCATTATATCCTCGCTACCACTATAGGCCTGCTGTGAATTTCTAAGAATTCATTTAAATAGCCTATACGTTACCAGATTTTTTTTTCCATGTATATAACAGAGAAAAACAAAATGCGTTAAAAATAACTTCATCTTAATACATAGTTCAGATGAACTGGTCATACATAAATGGAAATTGTTAGTAGTTCAGAGATGTTGTAGTTAACTTCTTTAAAGAAACAGATTGAGAAGCTTTTGTTGTAGTTAACTTCTTTAAAGAAACAGATTGAGAAACTTTCGGCTAGTATCAAAATGTATTCATTACTTTGAATGACAGTTCTTATTTGTTCATTTGCTTGTATGCTCTCTTTCATCTGTGAATTTTTTCTTTTATACCCTGTGTCATACAGATCCCCTCTAATGCAGTTTCTGGTTGTGTTGGTATAGATAATTTATTCTTAAGAATCTAGCAGTATTTGGCAGTCCTGAGACGTGAAAAGCTTCTATTATGAAATTAAATTTGGTTATTTTTTCTTAGTCTTTCAAACAATTTTTTGGATTTTTGCAATTGAATTTCCAGTGTTTTAAAAATGTATCTGTTAAAAGTATATTTGCAGTAATTCACCGTTTCTATTCTGACATTTTTAGAAATCTGAAAAGTTCTCCCATTGCTATATATATTTTCTTTAATGCTATGGGCTTATTGTTATTATTATCATTTTTTAGATGGAGTCTCACTTTGTCGCCCAGGCTGGAGTGCAGTGGTGCGATCTCAGCTTAGTGCACCCTCTGCCTCCCGGGCTCAAGCGATTCTCCTGCCTCAGCCTCCCAAGTAGCTGGGATTACAGGCACCCAGCTATGGGCTTACTGTATACTGGTTTGCCCTTTTTCTGAATTAGGAAAAATGATCTAATCTTTAAAAGACTTTCTGATGCATGCTTTTCTCTATTTCCATTGTTTTATACTACTCTTCATTCAGTTCCTTTGCAACCTTTTGCTACTTTCAACACTTGCTTGGCTCTCATTATGTCAGTCCTAGAGAAAATGACTTTTGTTCTTTTGAAACACAGAAGTATGTAACATGATACATTCTGGTGGCCTTTTCCCCCAGAAGAAATAGATAGCCAAGTGGCTTAATTTTCATATTCAAGCTGATACTCAGAGGAAAAGTATGTCTTTGGGTTAATTTACCTCTGTAAAGCATAGAAATCTTTACAAATGATTGCTTTTTCTTATTTTTGTTCTTGGGGTGATCATGTTTCAAAATTTAAATTAAACACCTGGTGATGGAGCAAAGCTTTGTTTATTTCCATAGGACATCTGGGTTTTAGTATTAGCTTTGCAGCCTTCCTTTATACCTGGAGAGAACGTGTTGAACATCACTACCTTAACTTGCCCATGTCAAACAGTTAGAATTTCTTGCAGTTTAATAGATTGTCTGGATGTCTTGATGGAATGTTTGAGAGATAGTCATTAAATGCTTGTGTGGGCCGGGCTCGGTGGCTCAAGCCTGTAATCCCAGCACTTTGGGAGGCCGAGACGGGCGGATCACGAGGTCAGGAGATCGAGACCATCTTGGCTAACACGGTGAAACCCCGTCTCTACTAAAAAATACAAAAAAACTAGCCGGGCGAGGTGGCAGGCGCCTGTAGTCCCAGCTACTTGGGAGGCTGAGGCAGAAGAATGGCATAAACCCGGGAGGCGGAGCTTGCAGTGAGCTGAGATCCGGCCACTGCACTCCAGCCTGGGCGACAGAGCCAGACTCTGTCTCAAAAAAAAAAAAAAAAAAAAAAAAAAAATGCTTGTGTGTCAGGTTCAGTGTTGGGGAGGTGGGAAGGTGAAGAAGAATGAGCCTTCCAAGAGATTGGCCTACTGTGCTCTGAAGGAAATATGTAGTATAAGTTATAGTCATTGATTTAGTAAATGTTTACTGAATGCTTCCTCTGTGTTGGACATTCATCAGTGCTTCCCAACAGGGCACTATTGGCATTTTGGGTGGACAGTTCTTTGGTGTGCGGGAATGGCCCACATGTTGCAGAACCTTTGGCATCCTTGCCCATTATATTCTAGTAGTAGTCTCAGTCATGCGACATCAAAAAATTATAACTCCCATCCCCTGTGCACACTTCCAAATGCTTCTAATTGAAAACCACTGCTCTAAGTACTGTTGTGGGTATTTAAAAACATGCAAATGTTTGATTTTAGATAGTTTCCACAAAGGGTTTAAAGTCAGGAGAAAAGAGAGTGTAGAGAAGCACTGGTGAAATTAGAGTCAAAACAGAAGAAGAGTTGTTTATTATTGGTAAATAAAAATTTATCGTTATTAAAATTTCCTTTCTAGGAAATAATATTTAAGTAAGTCCGTCTCTGAAATATTTAGCACACCTAATGAAATCTTACACCAAATTCAGTAAGTTCATGGAATAAAAGATTCAAGGTCCTTCAACCACGTTACATCAAGCAGAACCTCAGGTCACTTTGTACACGAATACTAACATGGACAACGAAAGCATGCTGTTGAATTTTGTTTCCCAGAAATGGTTAAAAACATTACACTGACATATAAGTTGGTATAATTTACCAGAGCTTTTTGGCTATCTGGAATGTATTTCAAATATCTTTATGAAGTTTACTAATTTTACATACCACTGTGACCTGCAAACAAGTCAACAAAAGTTCAGTAGAAAAGATAACAATGGACAGTTTATATGACTATAATGGAGCTAATTGCTCTTGGAGCCTCTTAAGGATTATGTGTAAGAGGCAAAGTTATGGCAGGTCATATCTTTTATAGTTCTTAGGAGAAGATTGCCAATGCAAATTAGTATGAAATAAATATTAATGAAGATCATGTTCATTTCTTTCTGATATGTTTAATTATGCATATATACTTAAATTATGTGTGTGTGTGTATATATATGTATCTATGTGTGCACAGAGCGAGAGACGAGCATGAAGGTCACATGACTGATCCTTGCATTCATTTTGTCCCTGGAAATATTTTACTTAGTTTCTGAATTCTTGTACAAATTACTGTTCTTTAGATACAAAAGAATATTAAAAACTTTAAAAACTGCAGCAACAATGGACTAGTTCCCATGCTAAGGACTCAGAGCTGGCTTATCTCTACCACTGAAAGAACATCTGGGTGCATTCCAACACAAATCAGCTGTGATTAAATCTTTGAAATAGTGGCATTAACAATGCCACAGACCAGTGGATAGCAGCTATATAGAAATGGCATATTTAAAATTACCTTAATGGCATATATGAGGACGTATTATAATTGTATATCCGAAGGTCAGTTTCACCAAAAACTAACTTAGTAATAGCCTATCTAGAGATTAAGGCCTGTATTTTTTAAATTATGAAACATGCATGATTTAA